GTGGCGGGGGGGGTGGCGGGGGAGGAGGGGGAGGAGGAGGAGGAGGAGGGGGGGAAAAAAGGGGGGCGAGGTAATGGGGGGCGAGCGGCGGCAGCAGCTTCTGGGGCGCAGCGAGGAGGCCTCGGAGGAAGGAGGAAGGCGAGAGCCCGAGAGTGAGCGAACGGCCGCGGCGATGTCTTGCTTCGTCTTCTAACCCTCCCGGTGCCTTTCCTCTTTTCTCTCCCCCTCCTCCTCCTCTCCCCCATTTTGTGGGGTGGGGGGCCCTTCAGGCCGAAGCGGCAGCCGAAACCCTCCTCCGACGAGGGCTATTGGGACTGCAGCGTGTGCACCTTCCGGAACAGCGCCGAGGCCTTCAAGTGCATGATGTGCGATGTGAGGAAGGGCACCTCCACCCGGTGAGTGAGCGAGCGAGCGAGCGAGCGGCCGAGAGGCCTGTTCCGACCCGGACACCCGACGAGCCCGTCAGCCGAGGGGGAGCGGGTGGGAACGGGCGAGCTGGCCGCGGCGGGGCGGGGGCGGGGGCGGCCAAAGGACGAGAAAGCTGCCTCTCGGAAAAGCGGCCGGGAGGGCCGCTAGGAAGACGAGACGAGCCACCATGAGAGCCACCAGGGCAGGATGATTATTTCTTGCCCTCCCTTCTCAGGGGAGGGTGACAGAAGGGAAGGGATTTAGTGCAGGCAGCAGCTGTCGCCGCTGCTTTCCTTCTCTTTTTCCTTTCCCCTTTTGCCCCAGTGAAGACTCTTCGCCAGCCGAAGAAGCATTTATTTTCGGCGAACTTGAAATGTGTACATCGGTAAACAGCCTCTAAATGACGTGGTTCACATTGCCCGTCACTTGGGCTAGAAAGAGAGTAGCATGAGAAGCTAAAAACCTTTTCGATTTGGCTTTGCTTTAATCACATAACACAGTTATCTGAAGTGTTGGGTGCATTTTAAAAAGGCATGTATATTGCTAATGAAATACGACATTCACAGTATCTTGGCACGCTTCAGCTGATCAAATCTAATCGTGGCCATTTATATTTACGATGAAGAAAAGAATCATTGTTTGACTTTTGCTGAAGGAAGTGCAGAAATGGCTCAGGATATTGATGCTGGTTTTGAGACAGTGGACCCCCTTACTTACACTTTCACAGTAATTCCCAATTAATTAACTTACAGTTATTTTTAAAATTATATACAGAGGTGGATTATAATAAAGTGAGAGATGATTAAAGTGTTTCTCAAATGAATTTGTCTGCATTGTTCTTGCTATTACTTCGTTAAATCAGGAACTTGTTGACTGCTACTTTCCCTTTCAGAAAAAGGTGCCCATCCTTGCTTAATGGAATGTGTGTGAGGGAGAGAAGAAGGACCTTTCTTTTAGAGTGATCTATCAATTAGTATTGGGGTGTGGGGACTGCCAAGGGGATTAGCTGTTGAAATCCACAAGGTGCAGGAGGAAAGGAAAAAATATAGCTACTAGTAACTTTCTGGAGCTTTAAGATACATCAGTTAGCCCTCTAGAAACATAATGTTGCTGACTGAGTAGCAGCTCTTGGCATGGGCTGTTGAGGGGAGGAACTAAGAAGTTAATAGTGCTAAAATGCACTGTTCTTAGCTCCCAGTGGTTACCTGGAAGGTTTGTGAACCACTTTTTCCTCTCACCTCTCACACTTCATCCTCACCTTCAAACCAATAAATGTTTAATTAGAGTTTTTTTTAAAATGTTACTTAATATTTATTTTTATCTCTTTTCTAATCATTGGTAAGCAGCCTTAGCTCCTTATACTGGGGGAATTGTGGCATAGGAAATTAATTAATAATAAATATGGACAAACCTGCTTTTTTTCTTACCTGCCTCAGTATCTTGAATTGTAGTGCAAGGTTCTGAATAGAGGACCATTTCATCAGCTGTTAGACAGGGCCATATAGAATTGAAAATAAGGTTTTGTTCTCAATACTGTAATTTACTGCAGTACTTTATTTCAACCGGCAACTATTTACATGAATAAAGTGTGTGATTTGGAGATATTAGTGAATCAGTGCCTGAAATCCTGTTCTGTAACTTACACCGCACAAAGTTGATGATGTCATGAGCCATTGCCGTTTTATTTAAATACAAAAAAATCTGATTCTCCCCTGAAGGTCCGAAGGCTCCCATTGGATGTTTTTTGTTGTGAAGAAGTTATTGGAGACCACAGGATGAGGGAGTCTATAAATTCCCAAAACTAACCATAAAATCAGCACAGCAGTAGCTATTTTAGAAAATTCAAGACTTTACACCCATCCTATGGCCCCCAACAGCTTCTCCATGATGGAAGGCAGCTTCTGAGAGCCTTAGGACTCAGGACAGGTGGGATCAGATATTTTTTATTTCTGAATAATCATAGCGGCTGATGATGTTATCAGCCTTAAGCAGCAACTTGTTGCAACAAGATTTTAGCCTGTGCATCTAAATCCACTTTCTGATTCCCAGTCATTGGTAGTAATGCTGACTTCTGTGAGGCCTATTGTGATCTATATTTCTTGGCTTACCAAACGGTATCAAATTTCATATTCATAGCATTTTCATATACACTTGGCTTTTGATGGTGATTTTTAACCAAGAGAAATGTTTTTGTGCCATTTATTGATAATGAAAAACTTTTATTACACCTGTTATAGGAGAGATCCATTTAAGTGCATGGAAAATTCTGTATGATCAAGAAATAAGAGTCTGTTATGCACTAATATGGGAGGGAGAAATGCTGGGGTACTAAATTGTGCTTGGAGTCCTTGGTACAAATATAGATTCGCCAAGTACCAATGACTTCATTGGAGCAAGTACATAGATCATTGAGTTTTTATTTACCTAATACATGTGAATGTTACACTGAGTGTAGGAGGCTTATGGTTTGATAGAAGTGAATATGTTTCTCTAGATCTTGAGCCCCAAAGGTATCTTGTACATGACAGAAAACAAAATTGAAGCGGGTAGAGGTCCTACAAACGTTAGTTATTAGAGATTAGGGTTTTCTGGATTACAAATACCATAATTCTCCATTCTGTGAGTTCTGCTTGTCTTACAGGCACTTTTCAATGTGATGCTCCCAGAGGAAAAGTAGAAATTAGAAGGCTTTGAGGTTTAAGCTAGGCTGAGCACTTTGCTTAGAAAGAAAGCTCCCAGTTAGCACAGGAGCAGGAACAGGAAGCTTGGGTGGAGCTTGGCCTAGCTAAGCCTCAAAGCGTTCTAGTGTAGACCTTTCTCAGAGATGCATCAAACTGAGGTGTTTGAAAGGTGCCTACAAGACAGGTAGAAATCCTTGAATGGGAATTATAATATTTGTAAGTCAGAAAAAATTGAAAATCTCTGTTAGTTATGAATGGTTTCAAATGCACTAGGAGGCAGATGTTAGTATTTTGCACAGCTGCTAAATAATGTCCAGGGTAATCCAGTCATAAAGCACATTGTAGCAGTCAATCCTAAAGCTAATAAGAGCATAGTTCAGCATATGTATGCCCATATTCTCCAAGAGGTGGGTGCCTATGAAGATTTTGAAATGTACTCTTGATGACCAGCTACTGCCTGTTCGTTAAAAAAGACAGTGTTGAGAAGGATTTCTGGCCTCAAAACCTGCTGAGGTTTCATCTCTTACAGGCATAATAAACGCTTCCAAAACCTGGCAGTTTTTGTCAGATTCACCCCATTTTGTCTGGGGTCAGCTTTAACTTGGTTAACTCCATTCACTTGACCACAGTACATAGATTTTTTTTTTTAAAAAAAGGCTGCAACCACAGATCATTGATTCTCAACTAGGGTTGCATGTTAGAATTTCAGATATGGGCAGTCTGACCAAAAAAAGAAAAAGAAAAAAAAAGAAAAAGAAAAAGATTCTGTACTTTTTAGGAAATTGGAAAACGTTATTGAGAGAATATTATGAATCTATGGTTTTCTTAACGTACAACTGATTCCATCATGGCATGATGCGTAAGTGTGGGTTTTAATTGAGTAAAAATAATTTTCCATAAATTTCCAAATTGATTTGTTTGGGGTGGTATTTTTGGTCATGATATTTCAAATTTTGAACAGTTTTCGAGGGGGGGCAGTATTGAAAGCAGTTATGACATTTTTGTCTTTATCAAAAGTGGGCATGGGCTTAAAAAGGTAAAGTGGCACTGCACTCAGTGCTTAGTTAACGAATTACAGCTGGATGATAACACCTAACTCTAAAGCTGTAGATGACATATTCTGTTGAGTGTCGGTCACAGAACTGCACTATAAAACATCACCCACCAATTCCCAAAAGACCAAAGTGTTATCTCAGGAATCCAAATGGAAAGGGGCATTGGAATTTGTGAATGAAATATTTGTTCTGCAGATTGTCAATTTGTATCTCGATAAAAATGGTTTAGGTATACAAGTGGTTTAAGTATCTGGCTGCAGAGCCAGAGGTTGGGAGTTCAGTTCCCCACTGTGCCTCCTCAACAGGGGCTTGAAGTCAGTGATCCATAGAGTCCCTTCCAGCTCTACAGTTCTAAGATCTTTATCCTGTATATATTTCATGAAGTTTGACAAGTGCTACGCTGCAGTAAGAGGTCATGTAATTATATCCTCTTATTATTTTCTGTCTAAATAATTTCCGATATAAATAGAGATTAGAGTTTTTTTAACAAGAAAATTCTTCCATTTTGTACAATTCTGTGCTGAATATTCTGTTCAGTTAAATTTGTTAATTGAAGTTTATTAAATTCAGTAGAATCCAGATTTAGTTAACTGACTTTCATCAATGTTTGTATGTTCTCTTAGTCTTAGTAATACTATACACCTTGTTTATTTACCTATTTTCCTTGTAGTTTAGTTATTCAGGAAACTTGTGTTTCATTAAAATTTCATTTAGTGAGCTCTTTCTAACCTATATTCGTTCTCAGTTTGCCTAAATTTAGTATTTTTCACTGGTATCATAGGAGGCAGGTGATTGTGCTAATAATGATGATCATGTGCTGTCAAGTCAGTTCTGACTTATGGTGATCCTTTTCTGACTGTACAAGGCAGAGAAAGCTCTGAAAAGTTGTTTACCATTCTCTTCCTTTGGGGGCACTCTGGGGCTGTAGCTTGCCCACTGCTACACAGGCTGACTCATCTTCCAGGAGGCACAGCAGGGAATCAGACTCCCAACCTCTGACTCCACAGCCAGATACCTAAACCACTGAGCTATCCAGCAGCTGATAGAAGATTGTGCTAAATATAAAAATAGAGCAGATGTGGTACCATGGTCTTTCCCCTGTCTGCCACGGCCTGGTACTTCTCTAGTATTTCCTTATTACTATTGATTGTATTCAGCTGCATAATGACAGAATTAAAATACTGTATATGAATGTAACAGATTTTAAAGAGCCGCCTTGCTAGAGTAGATCAAGGTCTGTGCAGTTCAGCA